CCCCCACACACACACACACACACACACTGGGACAAGCCACTGGGACAAGACACACACACACACACACACACACACACACACTTATACAGGTAAGTGACCTGGGGCGAGTTACTTAACCACCTCATCTTCGATCCCTCATCTGAAAAACAGGGATAATGATACCTGCTTTGCAGAGCTTTTACGAGGATTGCTTAAGCTAATGGGTGTGAAAGCCTGGCCCGGGGGAGGGGATCAATAAAGAAGAGCCTCTCTTGCGAAACCTCTAACCACTGGAGCAGACAACAGCATTTCTGTCTTCTAAAGGCTCCCAAGAGAGCGCCAGCCTAACTGTACAAAGAAGACCTCTTGATTTTACTCTGCAAGCTTAGCTCCAGCAGCGCCCTCGTGACCTGAAGCTCCACGCACTGGCCCAGCAGCCGGGCCCCTAAATGTCACCCTCTGGACCCAGTGCTTATTGCTTAGGATGCTTCTCTAGCTTTCCAGAGGATATTTGCCTCTGTGGGCCACCCTGGGTGGTCAGATCCCTGCTCCAGGCCCCTGGTGCAAGTCCCCTCAGCGTAAGGAAGGCAAGCACCAAGCACGACTGTTTGTGAGGGGAGGTAGAGCTGACAAGAGCCCAGGCTTCACTCAGAGGTTCCCTCTGTTTGCTTTCTCGCCCTCCCTGGGCGTGCTGCTGGATGGGCCTGGGGCAGCTGGGACAGGCCTTCCAGTGCCAGCGATTTCACGCGGGGGTGGGCGACCGGACAAAGCACCCGGCGTCTCCTTGTCAGGACTGAGCTTCCACCTTGGGTCCTCTCTGAGTCTCGTTTTGCTAATGAGATCAGGCAGGCTTGTAATTGTAGGTAACCATGGAGGACAGACATTCCCTGGCATTCCCACAAACTCTCCAGTCTGTTTAGCCTCGGAAATTGGGCAAGAGCAGGTAGCAAAGCAGCAGGTCAAATGCAAGCCATTGCAAGAAACTGACTCACACTTTACCAGCAGGCTACTCTCCTCACTCCTCCACTCGCTATTTATTTGCGCATTTATTCTGCAAATATTTAGTGAGTAGCTCCCTTGTGTCTCTGCCTTTCACACCCCCAGGCCTTTGCACAGGCAGCTCGCACCACACCCTCCCATTGGCCAACCATCCACTCGACCAGGTCAAAGGTTATCTCCCCTGAGAAGCCTGCCGCAAAGTTCCAGGGCCGCCTCCACCCTGCCCTCTCCAGAGGAAGGCAAAAGGCACAGCAGGAGGGACACTGCTGAGGGTCAGGCTGAGCTGAAGAGCAGGGCTCCTCGTCCCTGGGTGTGGCTGGGCCGAGTTGTCAAGCTCTCTACCTGTCTCCTCCTCTGCACACTGTACTCACCGCTGCTCTGCCACTTCCCCGCTCTCCTGGAGTTGGAGAGGTTCTACATAAAATACAGTAAACGTCGTTTGGGGTCTGCAGCTAAGCCTGCCTGGAAGTAAAGGAAGCCCAGCCACGATGGTGCAGCCATAGCACGAGTGCCATCTGGGCTGGAAGCCATATGGCCGACCGCAGGCTCAGATCTCTGGTCTGCCTGCAAGCGTGCCAGACACATGCACGCACGGGCAGGCGTCCAGAATCCGGAGGCACTAGAGGGCTGGGGAAGGGGATCCGTGTGTGGCAGGACCTGTCGAAGGTGCTTCTCTCTTCCTCTCTGTCTCTCATGCACACATGTACTCTCTATTAGAGGAAGATGGGAAGGAAGGGAGGGAGGGAAGGAGAGACTGCCTAGGGGCCACACTCAGGGAGGAAGCTGAAGTGAGAGCCATGGCTGATCCTGACATGAAGTGACCTCAGGTGTGCGTTGGTTCCAGTGGATCCCGTCGTTTTTCAGAGCGTATGCTCAATGGGAGGTCGGCATCAGCTCAGGGAGGAAGCTGAAGTGAGAGCCATGGCTGATCCTGACATGAAGTGACCTCAGGTGTGCGTTGGTTCCAGTGGATCCCGTCGTTTCAGAGCATATGCTCAATGGGAGGTTGGCATCAGCATCCTGTCTAAAGCCAGGACCTCAAAGTCTCTGGGACCTCAAGGGGGCTGCAAGAAGACATGCACCTGCTGATCAACAAGGTCTTCAAATGCTCCCCACATTCAATGCGCCTCCTCCTCCAGGCCACAGACTGACATGCTCTCTGCCCCCTGCAATTAGCCTGGGGCTTCCAGCAGCTCTGGCCAAGGGATTCACCTCTCCCTTAAGCAGTTAACAGCCAGCGCCAGACTCCGCAGTGCTGCCTCCCGGTCCTCAGTGCTGGCAGAGGCCTGCGTTAAAACCAGAGAGCTGAGCAGAGACTGAGACAGGCTGGCTCACTGGGTTGCTCCGTGGGAGGCACTGGCCTAGAGAGTGACTCCGATTCCCTCCAAACGTGGCTGGAGCTTTAAGAGCAAGAAATAAGCTTCTGTTGGGTTTAACGGAAGAGAAGGATTGTTTGTTACTAAAGCAGAACTTAGCACCTCCTGACTGATACAGCTGGCTAAAGGAGATAACTGACAATGGGGCAGTCTCTACCCGGAATCAGCGGTTGAGACAGAGAAGTGGCGACAAGTGTCTCCTGACAGCCCTAGTTACTTCACGGAGCTTGGG